GCCTAGAAAAGCGCGTGGTGGAACGGCCCGCTAGGCCGTTAGTAACGGTATCGTTACACTTTAAATAACTTTTCTTCGTTTATACATGTACTATTTCCACATTTGAATACTTAAAATAACTGCTATATTTCTCAAACTTTTTTTGTTAATAACATTTTAACGAACAACGAGCGACGGCTAAAACCTCTTGGATGTTACTCAGGACAGTGACCTTGACAACATATATCAAGGTCAAAGTCATTGGAGGTGGATACGTTAATCTAAATATTTACTTATACTACTTTTACATACCGCACATGGGATAAAAATAATTATTTTTGTCAGTATAATATTGAGGATATCCTTGAACACACTCATGTTGTTCTATGTGAGCTGTATCACATATGGTTTCACAGAGTCCACATGTCATTACTGGTCTGAGGTCAAATATCTACAAAACATTAGAAATAGCATATATATTTCACAAGTTGTATATTGTTCTAAAATACTGGAAATATTCTTTTACGTTTCAAAATATATTGCTTACTTTATTATAGTCTAAAAAAGAAATTCATGTAAAATACATTATAAGTTATTTTTATTAAAGAAAATTTATTTTATATAAAAAAAATTACTTTTGTGTATATATACTTACGTTATCATTTCCATTTTCTTCAATCGAATCTTGCATCTTTAATATTAATTTATTAATTTTTCTTATTTTATAAGATTATGTTTTTAGTACATACGAATACAGCACGGCAGCACTGTCAGCAATGTATCAGCGCTTAACACACCGTTTGAGCGATAATGCTTTGTAGTTGGACCGATCTAAACTACAAAATCATAGCCGCTGGATTACGGGCAACAAATCTATCGCTCAATCGCTTGTTTTAGCGGCACGTGAAATGGTATCTTTATAGTAGATCAGTGCTGGGATTTAGATGCAACTTTCGGCCGGATTTCTTGACTCACGCCTACGGTTCCCCCTCTTACTGCTCGCTCCTTAACAACGCAGCGCCGAACGGCCGTAACTAAGGAGCGCGTCACTAGTCTCAGGAACGTGCGTGTCACAAATGTAATAACGCAATAGCCTAGTGCCCTAGTAGCAAAACTGCTCATTAAAATTTTCTATTTAATACTTTATTTCTACTATTAAAATATTTGTTTTATTTAAACTTTAAATAAAACATAAATATTTTAAATTGTTACAGAACATACGTAATTAATAATAGAATAATAATTATTTTAGTTATTAATACTATAGTAATAATAGTTACTAATAATAGAAATGAAGTTAATAATAGAATTAATAATAGTATTAATAATAGAAATAAAGTATTAAATAGAAAATTTTAATGAGCAGTTTTGCTACTAGGGCACTAGGCTATTGCGTTATTACATTTGTGACACACACGTTCCTGAGACTAGTGACGCGCTCCTTAGTTACGGCCGTTCGGCGCTGCGTTGCTAAGGAGCGAGCAGTAAGAGGGGGAACCGTAGGCGTGAGTCAAGAAATCCGGCCGAAAGTTGCAT